GGGAGACCTCCCAGGGGTATCAACCCTCCTTGGCATATCAAGTAGGACTTCTACTATTGAGACTAGACAAGACAGTCAAGTTAGAGGAAAAGCATCCAATGGCAGCAACAGACTTAGAGACAGCCCCTGATCCTGCTATTAGAGGCTCCACGTGAGGACTAAGCTGTACATCTGTTACATATGTATGTGTGCTTGCATGTGTGAGTGTGAGTGTGTGTGTGTGTGTGTGTGTGTGTGTGTGTGTGTGTGTGTGTGTGTGTGTGTGTAGATCCATCCCATGGTTTGTTGCTCAGTCTCTTTGAGCCCTTATGGGCCAGATTAGTTCATTTTTTTAGGTTTTCTTGTGGTATCTTTGACCTCTCTGTCTCTTTCAGTCCTTCCTTTCCCTCTTCCATAAGATTCTCTGAGCTCTGCCTAATGTTTGGCTGTGGGTCTCTGCATCTGTTTTCATCAGCTCCTGGGTGATGACTATTATGCCAACCTCCAGTCTGCAAGTATAACAGAATATTATCAATAGTGTCAGGAGTGGGCTCTCTCTCTCTCTCTCATGGCATGCGACTTAAGTTGAGCTAGTCCTTGGTTGGCTGGGTCAAAGGTTTTGTGTGTGGGTTGGTTTGCTCCTTCCTCCACTGGAAGTCCTGTCTGGCTGTAGCCAGGTGGTGGCCACTTCAGGCTCCATATCCATATCCTGCTGCTAGGAGTCTCAGCTAGGGTCTAGGGTCACCACCATAGACTCCCAAAGGGCCTCTTCTGATCCAGAGATACACTCTCCAGTGATTTCCATTCTATCTTCCAGCTCCCCTTTTTCTATACCTGATCCCCACTCCCAACCGATCCCCATCCCCTCTTCCACCTAGTTCACTCCCTCTATGCATCTCAGATGTCTATTTTATTTCCACTTCTGCATGAGATTCAAGCAACCTCCCTTGAATCTTCCCTGTTGCTTAGCTTCTTTGGATCTGTGGATTGTAGAATGGCTAGCCTACAATGTCCTTAATGGCTAATATCCACTTATAAGTGAGTACATACCATGCTTGTCTTTCTGAGTTGGGGTTACCTCACACAGGATGTTTTCTAGTTTTATCCATTAGCCTGCAAATTTCATGATGTCTTTGTTTTTAATAACTGAGTAGGGTTCATTGTGTACCTGTACCACAGTTTCTTTATTCATTCTTTGGTTGAGGGACAGCTGGGTTGTTTCCAGTTTCTGACTGTTATAAGCTGTTATGAACATAGTAGAGCAAGTATCCTTGCGGTATGGTAGAATGTTCAACTTCTTATATTCTCTAGAATATACGATATAAAGTAAGATCATGTACCACCAGGGTGTGCAAAAAGAAGTAGTGGTATCAAAACTATCCCTGAGTCCTTCTACTGAGGATAGTTAAGCTACACTGCCACAGACATAGCTGTCAGCATACAGATTTGTTCAATTACTTCTTACATTCTCCAGCCATCCAAGGTAACCACTGTTCAAATATCACAATGGGATGGTGGTTTTATTATGGAGTAAAACGCCATACTATACTATTCTACTCCTTTGCTCCAGCTCTCACATTCTCTTGCACTCCAACTTGCAGGATAATCCCTGAGCCTTGGAAGGGCAGATTTGTGCATGATCATTTCTGAGTATTAGACTGCCATCTCACCACAACAGCCACTGAGTCTCAAGCAGCCTAAGCAATTACAACTCTCTCCATCATCAAAGAACACCAAGTGTAAGGAGATGTCCAGCAAGGAGGCAGACTCTACCAGTTACAGTAACATTCACAACTGAGCTAATCTATGGTCACAAACACAAATGTTTAGAAGAAAAAATGTAGAGACCTATACCTTTCATTCCACAAAACAACAGCAGTTGTCTTCCCAGTGGGATCTATGACCTCCACAGTCAGGGGAATTTGTTCTGGGTCACAGTATGAGATATGAATTCTCTCCTGTGCATCTATTCCTCAAATGAAACTGTAAAGTTTTTTTGTACCTAACAGCTGCATCTTCATTGTACCAGTGTACAGATCTTGCTTCAAATTTTAATAATGTGAGAGAAAGAGCCCAAAACCTAGGACAATTTGTGAGCATTTTCCCACAATGGGATTGAAAGAAACTTCTTGGTGTATGAAAGCCAGCTAGTAGATAGAAAGATTCCAGCTCAACCCAACTCTGATATTTTGATATCCTGCAATTCAATCAGGAGGACTATCCTGATTTGGGGAGATCTTGAAAACCTTATTGGTCGACAACTCCTAAGAGCCCAGCTCTAGAACAGTGAATTTAACTGACATATGGATTCTGGCACTGCTTTTTCCCACCCACGTGGAAGAACATTCTTCTACTTTAACACTTCATGGAAATGCTGTCCCAAATCTATAAGGCACTTGGTCGGTACAATACCATCCAGGAAACAAAACATTTTCTACATAGGTTGAAAAGGGTCTGTGAATGCCTATCACTGTCCCTTCAATCAGGGAGGCATGTTTCCTGTAGAGTCACACACTAAGCAGATTTTCTCAGAAAATGTTGACAAGAAATAGAATGACATGAAAAGTTCCCTTCACTCCTAGCTAATGATTCCTCACAAAAGCATAATTCCGAATGGAGGTATACATAGAAAAAATTAAAGTCTCTGTACTCCAGATCAAATGTCATGTCTCTTTAACTCCTAGTTGTCAGACTCTCATGGGTCTTGTGTGTGTCTTAGAACCCCTTAATGGGTCCAGTAAACTCAACCCAACACCTTCACAGTGACCCAAAGACAAGAACACAGCCAGTGTGTAGATGCCCTCTTCAATCTGCCTCTGACAAGCTTCAGGACAGCATTGTAGATGAAGCTGCCTCACTTTCCTTTCTTGTCCATACATGACCACTGGGAGAGCACAGGATGAATAAGCAATCTCCAATCCCAGTATATTTTTTTCAAATGAATCAGCTTGCACAACTTATTTTAAGAGGGTATTACTGAACACAGCATGGCATAGGCTTATTTTTCTCTCCCTTGTTCGTTTGTTTCATCTATGCCATCCATGAACACTTGATTTAAATACTTCCAAAGCTCACTAGTATAGCAGGTGGTGGCTCTCAGTCAATTTCTTTCTTTAACAGTAGCCAGAACACGTATGTCTCTCTCTAACCAGGGCTCCTTGTGTGTTGTGATAAAGGACATTCTTATTGCAGAATTTTGTCCAGAACTACACAACATTAAATGATCTTCATGGAGGGGCAATTCTACTGAGGTAGACATGAAGCTACATGCTACAGCACTAGCTCAGTGTGAAAGTTCCTGAGTGGAAGTTCTAATACAACATGTGACTGTTGGAGGACAACATAAGTGGTTCTAGTGTCATTTGTAATAAGGCCTACTAGACACTTTCATCTTAGTGCTTTTTGTGCAGACAGAATAAGAAATATATATTAATGCATACTAGACCCATGCCATAATCCATAGTCTGAAACTACCAGTGAGTGACAGAAAGAGATACAACACAAATCAAAATGACAAAAGACACAAGATTTTCCTATATTTCTACAAAATCCCAAACTGATTCCTGTCTGTGAAAACAAACTTAGATGAAGAATGGGTTGATCTCTTTTTCACATATACACCAAAATACCCACAGCTTTTTTTTATGTAACCCAGCACCTGTACCTACAAATGCCTTCTTTCTCCACATATTCCACTTTCTACTTAGCCTAGTCTCAGACCCAAGCATGGCAGAGAATGCTAGAAGCCCCATATTCTACAAAGGCTGTTGCAAGAAGAAGCTACAGTAACTGCCACACTTCATTCATTTATAGACAAAGAGAGGAGATAGCCAGACTCAGTGTCTCATAACCATGATGGAGGCATCATGGGAGGCAGAGTCAAAAAGAAAGTCCATGTGTCTCAATCCAGAGGGAAATCCACAGTGAGTTCCTGAAGAACTTGTACTACAGAGACAACCCTATCTCAGGAACACAAAAGAAGAGGCGAGAAATCATACAGAATTCACAGAGTATGGGCAGGACAACAAAACAAATGAGTGAAAGGAGGAATGTTTGTAGCCTCAACTTCAGATCTTCAGTTGTTTCTAAATAAAGAATCCACTTTTACAAGCATTTTCATGATGAGCAGAAGGCCACTTCTAGAAGTTCACAGTGATATCACCCATGAGGGTAAGGATGCAGGATCAAACTGGTCCAAGTATCAAAGCCTACAAAGGAGGGTTGAAAAGCAGAAAAGACAAATGTGAGTCCAATGTAAGTAGCACAGCTGAAGAAAGGAATCCTGAACAAGAAACCCAAAGAAAAAAGTCTTAGAGTTGATCAGCTCTTACAAGATCCATTCAATGCACTCACAACCCTACCCTTCAAAACAGTAACAAAGGAGCCAACTGATCTCTTCCTTTGATCATGGGTAGTTGCTCACAGCTCACAACTCAGATCAACTGAAATGGTTTCTCAGCTGAGTTGACTCAACTTGGATGCCCCTCTTCTTCCTGTCCAAAGGTAACAGTCTATATGTACAGTGTGTGCTTATGGGATATATTTTTGTTGTAATGTGACACATCATGTGCATGAAAAAGAAGCTTCATCAATGAGCCTTATAAGAAGTACTGACATGATCTCCTAGGCTAAAAGTCATAGGAAGAGGGACTGCCATGCTGAGATTATCATCTTTCACCAGCTCACAACTTGGCCTTCATGGCTGCTGTTAGTTAGTCTTCTGGCATCTTCTCCACCCAATCCTGTCTTTTAGCTCATAATGTGACCTTCTCATTGGTTACTGCCTGTTTTATGACATCATTCTCCCTCTCACCCTATCAGCATCTGGTAGAATCTTGGGGTTTCCATGGAGTTGCCTGTAAACAAATTGGTTCACAGGTAACCTCTTACGAGTGAACAGTGGGCTCTGTCTAATACTGGACACAAGAGCTAATTTCGACAGTAGATCAGTCAAGAAATACCATTTATCCTGCTCAATTGTAATTGGATTACTGTATTTCCCACACATCCCCACCCCGAAAATGTCAGGTAAGGAAAAAACTTTAAAGTGTTTATTTTCATTGTCTTTCCTTATATCTAATATACATTTAAATCCTTAGAATACTAAGGATACTATAGAGTTCAGTGTCACATTTCACTTTGGTTCATAATAAGAAGGTGACTTTACACAGTTTACTCTCAAGGTTTATAAGAGAAAGGCAAAAGTTATGCAGGGATAAAGATGGAGCAGTGATTGAGGGAATGTCCAACCAATGCCTGGCCCAACCTGAGACCCATCCCATGGGAGAGAGCCAACCACTGACACTATATAATTTTGCTATGCTTACAACAGGAGCCTAGCATAGCTGTCCTCTGAGAGGCTCTATCCAGCAGCATATCGAAACAGATACAGAGACTCACAGTCAAACATCGGGCAGAGCATAGGGAGTTCTGTGGAAGAGTTGAAGGAAGGATAGAAAGACCTGGAGATGATAGTTTCACAACAACAACAGAGGCAATTAACTGGGGCCCAGGGGGGGCTTATGGAGACTGAAGCACCAACCAAGAACCATGCATAGACAGAAATTAGGCCCTCTACACAGATATAGCAGATGGGCAGCTCATACTTCAAATGTGTTCCCTAGTAAGGGGAGTGGGGGCTGTCTCTGACATGTACCCTGATGACCTCCCCTTGATGGGGCTGCCTCAGTGGGCCACAAGGGAAGAGAACGTGGTCATACCTGATGTGACTTGATGAACTGGAGTGGGGGGGCTCTCCTATGAGGAACAGGAGAGGGGGGAAGAGGAAAGAGGAAGAAAGGAGATAACTGGGAAGAGAGGAGGGAGGAGCTACGATCAGGATGTAAAGTGAATAATAAATAAATAAATAAATAATAAGAAAAAGATCAAGGTAAAGCAGGGCAAAGTAGTACAGTCTCTCTATCTGAGCAAAGGTTGACCAAATCAACTAGGAATTTCATGACCACACAGGAGGAACAGGCAGGCCACCAAATGAACGTCATCCTATGCACTACCAAGAACCAATCTGAACACTTGCAATTGGGATGTTTGAGGAAACACTAGTCTTAGAATTTCCCATCCAGTACAAACTGGAGATAGTACTACCCCCCACAGGAAGATAGAAAGCACCAGTCTCATAATTTTCCCACTGTCCTCTTGCTTCCTACAGAAAATTTTCAAAGTGCCCCTTTCTTTGGGACTGAAAGTGCTCTGCAGCCCTCTCTGCCTGTGCTGAGCAACTCCACACCCTCAACAGGAAGGGTGTGCAACTTTTCCAGGGTCTCCACTCCAGCTGGGAGTTCCGCATGGCTCATGCCATCAGCCTCCAACACTTCGCTCCAGCCTCTCATGGGCAGTGCCTGCCTTTACCAACATGCTGGCACAACCATGCTGACAGTGTTGACTGACCAGGGCCAGATCTCAACCTCAGCACTCTCCTATCCAGGTGCTTTCACATGGGATCTCACAGGAAGCACAGATGTGAGGGCAGCTGCACTCCAGGACTTCACTGTAACTATCATTGACCAGGACACGACACTATCCTCACTGTCTGTGGCAGCTGAGCGCGATACAATTTTAGACCCCAATGCCATAGTCCCTTTCTATCCAACAGTGTCTGCCAGCTTTGTCCATGCCACACCACCACAGGTGACAAATCAAGGATATAGCCTGGCACCTTCTTACCAGGAGGGCAGCCAGGTCTACTACTATGACCACAACAGCCTGGGCCCTCTGATACCTGGAGAACTCGGGCAGGGCCTGCAGACCTACAGCTACGTGTCCTACCCTGGGAATCAGGCATCTGCTCTGCAACCAGAGATGGTGATGGTGCTAAAAGAGATTCAGCCAATGAATGTCCAAACCCCACTCTCCACCTCTGCCTTTTCTTATTCCACGTCTTCTCAAGCGATGCCAGGCACCAGTCTTCAAGGTGAGTAAAGAGCCAGGAGGGGAGGGAGTGGGATCAGCACTCGAAGGAGACGCGGCTCTACCTTTCAGTAGTAGACACTCCACACACAGAGAGAATGTGAGTCCTGACAGGTTATTCCAGCTCTGGCTTCCCATCCCTGTCATCAGACTCCATAATGAGAGAGAGTGCAGAGCCATCATATGTAGCATCCATCCTGCATCAAGTGATGACCACAGAGCACACCACACTCCCACATGTCACCACCAAAATGAATCTTCCAAGCACTTAATGGCATTTTCTTATACCTACACTTGTAGAGACAAGTTAGGTGCAGCCCATGTACCATTGCTAATTTGGCCAAAGCTGCTGCTGCTTTTTTTTCCTTTTGCTGTGGCACTTTGGAAGTAATCCACACCAAGATTATAAGACCATAAAGACATGTTCTCTAATACTATGTCACACCAACCCAAAGATTTCAATTTCTTAAATCAATTTTCATATCACTTAAAAAGACTCTGTGAAACATGGGCCTGGAGGAAAGCCTCAGTTTTTTAAAAGTTTGCCTCACTGCAGTGACCAACTGGATTTGAACACCAAAATCCACAGAAAAAGTCAGGCTTCTGTGGGCATCTGAGTAATGACATAAAATGAAAGAAGTTGGCAGTCAGGTAAGCTAGAATATTATGGATCAGACAACCTGCCTAATAGCAAAGTTTCAAGAAAATGAGTCACTGTATCAAAGAAAAAGGTAAAAGCAAGTGAGAAGCACACATCAAAGAAATTCTGTAACCTACCCACCTCACGGTGGCTGTGCACACACCAACATACACAAAGGAATACAAAAATGTGAGAAATCATGACATGGCATGTCCATCAGAAATGGATCAGTCACTACCTGTCTGTTGACAGAAGTGCTGTCAGTGCTGCTCAAGCAGAGCTCAGAGGAATGCCTTCCACACAGCTGCAAGGGCCTGAGCACTACGGAGGTATGAAAGGGGGAGGGGGCATCTCACTTACCAAGCACTAACTTCTTCCTTGACTATTTTTCAGTGGTAGAGATGGAGACATCCCTGGGATTGCCACCTTCAGGCCAGACACTCTCTCTGCTGCAGAGTACAGAATTATGCAACACCTGCAACCAGGTTACTGAAATGAGGTCATCACCTGTTGATGGGGACAGGTCCTTAACAGCCCCCATCCATAGTCCTTCAGATTTCCTGGCCTTGCCTCCAGCTCCAAGCCTGGAACAAGCAGATAACAGAAACTTGGATGAGACTAAAGCTGGGCTTTCAATGTCTCTGGATGCCTATGAGGGCACAAAAGAAAACCAAGACACATCACTTCTCCCCTTAGCACACCCTGACATGCAGCAGCCTCTACACTGCACTGATATGGGGAGCCTAAGGCAGAAGCCTGCTTCTGACAACACCAGCATGGGAGACAGCAGCCTTGGTCTGGAAGAGCAAGGGACACTGGAAAGTTTGATGATGTCCACCATCGACTTTGCAGACATCAATACACTGGTGGCAGACATTCATCTTCCACAACTATTCAACTCTCTCACAGACCTAGAACAATTTCCAGATCCCTCAGCCACCGAATCCAAAGTCTCCACAGTTATCTGGAGGGATCAGAGCCAGGACATCTCCAGCGTTATTAGTGAACCATCTGACCAGGTGAGAAAGAAAGACCATGAAGCCTCTGAGCTGCTTGATGGAGCTCCTCAGGACAAAATCCAACACTGGGACCTGGTGGAAGGAGAGGGTAGTGCTGTGGGTAGTGCTGAGGCCAGTGACAGGGCTATTGACAACATGGCCAAGCACTTGGAGGGGAAAGCTGAGAAAGCAGCCCCTAGGCCCAGCAGAGCTAGAGGACTGGAGCAAGATAAGACCAAGTGGAGCAGAGAAAACAGCTCCAAGAAAACAGAGGGGCCCAAGCAGTCAAGGAACAGAGTCAAGGCAGAAGAGCAGCCCACCATCCCTAAGACCAAGAGGAAGAGGAATCCACCTGAGCTCAGCCACAACAGCTTTAAAAAGCCTCGAACCCACCTCGGCATGCACATGCTGGAGTCTGTGCAGGTTTTTCACCCACTGGGGAAGAAGAGTGAGAAGAAAACTAACACATGCTCCTCCCGGCCTCTGGGATTTTCCAGCAGCCACAAAGATTCCAGGCCAGGCCCACCTACCACAGCACTGCTAGATACACCAAGTGAGGGCCAGGGCCCTGACAAAACCCTAGGCAAGGCTCAGAGAGCAGAGAGAAGTGCTCACAAGGAGTGTCCAACTTCCTCCCAACATGAGCTGCCCTCACCTGGGAAGGTCAAGTTAGTACCTCTGCCTTTCCCAAAGCCTCAGGCCAGGCCTGTTTCTAGAAAGCCTCTCTCCCTGGCTTCACGCAGACCCACTGCAGCTTACCCAGCATGGCCTCATTCCCACAGGGCTCAGCCTTCTCCACATAGGCCATCCCAACCACCTCCTCCCAGCACATCTTTGATGGCCTCTGCTAAGCCAGCTCTGCAAATTTCCAACAGTGGCACACGACCTAATATAACCAACCCCATCCAGTCTAGCACTGTGCCTCAGTCAGCTGCCTCAAGGCCTGCACCCTACAGAGCATCATCTCATACTTCACTCCAGAGGGAGCTTGTTTCTGCTGCCAGGAACAGGGTGCCGTCACCTCAAAAACCTCAAACCCAATATCTGCTGCAGGACTTCAGCCGCCAACCAATTCCATGGAGGAAAGTTGACATTCTAGGGCCAGTTATCTCACAGCCCATCACAAAAGAGCAGAGGCCAGAGAGGGAGGCCATGAAGAGAAGGGCTCAACAAGAGCGAGAGAATGCTGCCAAGTGCCCCTCCAATGGGAAACTGCAGATTTTCCTTCAGAGGGAAAGGGATATGGAAATTTCTCAATATTATGGCTATGCAATGTAAGAGCAGGCCAGATGTTTGTAACAAATGATTTTCCAACATAAACAAGGATAAATATAGACATCATTAGAGATGTACACATAGAATTTAAAGCATTGCATGAATGTATACAGACATAGGTATATATGCAGGTCCGTAGATGAATATCCAGATCTTTGGGTCTACACAAATGAACAGACATATTTGTAAATAGTTGAAGACAGTATAAAGAGGCTTTTTTGGTCTTCTTATAACTTTGATATTAATAATTTAGGTTGACAATTTGTACATAAATACAGCATGATATAAAACTCTTATAATGTTTATTTAATACTAAATCAATTCCTCAAAATCTGTAGTGATGAAAAATTATTCTCCTTGACTTTTATTTTCATTGTACTAGTCACTGAACATAGTATGTTTTCTAAAGTTTATACTGTAAACTGAACACGCTGGAGCTGTTACCATAGTTCCTCCAATTTTGAACCTCTCACTCCAGCCCTTAATCATCATTTTTTTTGGAGACAGAGCTCTTCCTGCTATTTCACGAGATGAAATGCATTCTTTCACGTATACACAACCTACCACCCACACATGAGGAAAAACCATGTCAGGATGACTATCTTTCTCGAATGGGTTTAGTCAGACTTGTGTAGCAAGTTGTCTCCATTTTAGAACACATCCATTAAATGTTTTATTTTATGTGTGTCTCCTCTGTGTGTGTTCCATGGCAACGTGTGTGCAGTTCCCACACGGGGTAAGAGAGGCCATCAGAACTCTGGTTTGGGAATTAAGGAAGGTAGAAGGATAACATTAGGGTGCTAGGAGCTCAGCCTGGGCACTCTGCAAGAACAGCAAGTGTTATCTGCTGAGCCATCTCACCAGGATTGAGTTCAATGCAGATTCCTGTTAACATAATTTCATTTTCTTTATGGCTGAAAATACTTCCCTCTCTATGCATATCACATTTTCCTCACCCATGACAATGCTGTGGGACAGCAAACTTGGTTCCCTAATGTACTACAGACAGTGCTGCAGCCAACACTAATGGGCAAGTATCTCTATGTTGAATTCTTTTTAAGGGTATACTTGCACCAGGTGGGAGGCCGGCTTTTGGCTTTTGGAGAACCCTCCATACCAACATCCAAACATGCTGGAATACTTCACATCTACACCAGCAGTGCTTTTTTCCTATGCATGCCTTTATCAGTGCTTGTCATCTGTTTTCTGATCTTGGATGACATCTCCTGTGGTTTCACTGCGTATTTTTCTGACTCCATGAGTCTAAACATTTTCATGTTTTCACACTCCTTTTGTATTAAATCTTTGAGGACTGCCTTATTTGGCCTCAACAAACTGAGTTGCCTTGTCTCATGTGATTTATATATTTTATCTGATTGTAAGTGATCTAAATATTAATCTGTCTGCAGACACAATAGTAAAGATTTGCTCCCATCCTCTAGGACATTCCCTGAAGTAGCTGCTTTCTTTGCTGGAAAGGATCCCTTTGATTCCCTGCCTACAAGATGTGCAGGGATAAAAATAGAGCAGAGATTGGGGGAATGTCCAACCAATGCTGGCCCAACCTGAGACCCACACCATGGGGGACAGCCAATCTCTGACACTATTAATAATACTCTGCTATGCTTCCAGGCGCATAGCATAGTTGTTCCCTGAGAGGCTCCTCCCAGTACTGGTTCAAAACAGATGCTGAGACTGACAACCAGTCACTGGGTGAAGTGCAGGTAGTCTTATGGAAGAGTCTGGGAAAGGATGAATGGGAGGGGAAAGAACTCTGCAAGAAGACCAACAGAGCCAAGTATCTAGGTCGCAGGGATGCTTGTGGAGATCAAAGCACCAACCAAGGACCACGCATATACTGGACCTAGGCCCCCTACATCCATGTAGCTGATGGGCAGCTTGGTCTTCATGTGGATTATCTAGTAAGAAGAATGGGGGCTATCTCTGACATAAACTATGTTGCTTGCTTTTTTTATCACCTTTCCAGCCTACAAGGGAAGAGAATGAGCTTAGTCCTGATACGACTTGATGTGCTGGGGGTGGGGGGGAGTTCCTTTATGTGAGGAGTAGGAGAGTAGGAAGGGGGAAAGAGAGGGAGGATGCCCCCCGGGGGGAGAGGAGGGAGTGGGCTATGATTGGGCTGTAAAGTGAATTTTTTTAAAAAGATGGTTTTTCTACTTCGGGGAAGAATGGCATCGGGATTTTATTGGGTTATTGTCTCAAATCTGAGGATAGATTTTAATGGTGTTATTTTGACAATCCCCAACATCTGTGAAGGCTCAATCCTGACCATTTGGACAAGGGCTATTTGCCCTCCAGATTCACCCATTAAGCAACACTGAGAAGGCTGGCATTAAAAGATGCCACAGGTGGTGGCATCTTATCCTCATAGGACAAGTTTGGGTAGAAGGAAGTGATGGGAAGCAACAGATTACTGAGGTGTTTGGAGATATCATTCACTATGTACTACTTTAACTCCAGAATGGACACTGGCATGGGATTACTGTACATCCCTTTACACTAAAGAAGTGATATGAAGCAATTTGGATATATATTTTTAACTTTATTATTTCCATTTTAATGTTTTCATATAAAGTACCTTGTAGAAATAATCTATATAAAATAAACCTCAGGAAACATTTCTTTAGTATTAAAGCAATTAAAATAGTATACTTATATTAAAATTATTCTAATTGATTTTAGTTCTGATTGTTCTATTCACTGAATATACTTTATTTTTATTGAAATGTATTTTGTATACTGAGCATTGTAACTCTGTTATCAGTACCTGCACATTCCTCACTCTCACCACAACCCTTAGTCATCCAAGTTCTTCTACACAGCTTGGCCTCTAATTTCATGAGTATATATTATATGTCTTTATAATCTACATTCCACATATAAGAGAAAGCATAAGAGAATAGTTGTCTGGGCCTGGATACATTTGGTATCTCCAGCTACATACATTGACTTGAAAACAGTGTGACTTCATTATCTTTTTAAGCTAAAAATAGTTCCACTCTGTTTAAACACCACATCTTCCTTATCCATTCCTTTGTTTTTTTAACACCAAAGTAGAGTCCTAACTCAGATACTGTTAACAATGCTGCCATCTACACTGACATGAAATCATTAATACATTCAATCCTGTGGAATGGTATGCATGGGACTTGCATTAGACTTGGTTTTGATATTTAAGGATACTCCATACTGACGTACAAAGAGGACAGAATACTTCACATTCCCAACATCACATTATATGAGCAGTCTATTATGGAAGCTTTTTTGGAAGTACCATAGTTTCAGTTAATGCTCTACTTATATTTGCTAGCATCTAGAAAGGTCTCTTGCTACCAGGGCCTGTAGCTCAAAAGGAATTATGTGGTAGGGTGACAAGTCAATATATCATGAGTCCTTTGCTCCTTCCTTTCTGGACTGTTAATATCTACTGCCAAGACCTAGCTATCACTGCACTGATCTGTTCTATTACTTCTGATAGACTCCATTCATCCAAAGTAATCACTGATAAAATATCACAATGGGAGGGATAACCTTTTTTGAGGAAAGAGCCATGCTACCCTCTTTTATTCATTTGCTTCAGCTTTTATATTCTTTTGCACTCCTGTTTTATCCCAGTCCCTGAACCTTGGAAGGACTGATATATGCATTATCCATTTCTGTGTATTAGGCTACCATCTCACCACAGAACAGCCACTGAATCTCAGCAGTCTAAGCAATTATAACTCCCTCCATCAGCAAAGAACACCAAAATGATGGATGTCTAGCAAGGAGGCAGACTGTAGCAGTTACAGTAACACAAACAACCACACTAATCTATGGGCACAAACACAAACATTTAGAAGGGAAATTTAGATGCCAATACCTTCCATTCAACAAAACCACAAAACCACAGCAGCTCTCTTACCATTGGATCTAAGACATCCTCAGTTATAAGGGATTTTTCCTGGATCATAGAACAATACATCAATTCCATACTGTGCCTCTGTTTCTCAAATTGAATTGTAAAATTGTTGGTTATATACCTGATAAGCATGCCTTCTTTGTGTCAGTGTATAGATCTTGTTTGACATTTCAATATTGTATAGAAGTAGCCCACAAATTAGGAAGACAGTTTGTGAGCATTTTCCTACAACAGGGTGGAAAGAACCTCTTGGTCTATGAAAGCCAGCCATCAGAAAATGAGATTCCAGTTTGAGCCAAGTCTAAGTTCTTGATATTCTGCAACTCAATCAGTGAGCCTATCATCTACTTCAGGCTCATAACTAACAATAGGGTCACATAGCCTTTAGAATTTGAGAGGTCTATAATACCTTACAGGCCAACGACTCTGAGGCATAAGCCCACCTCAGACACTTAGAATTTAGCAGGCATATGGATTTTGTGTTTCTTTATGTGGGATATCATATTGAAAATTCTTTTATTCTTCTTGGAGATGCTGTCCAAATCTATAAGGCATTCTGAGGGTATAATGATACCACCTAGTAAGAAAAACAACACATTTTCTACATAGGATGACCAGGGTCTTGGAAGATCTGCCACTGTCCCTTCTATCAGGGGACGTGTTTCCTAAAGAATGACACATTAAGCAGATTCTCTGGGAAAGGCTGTCAAGATCTAGTAGAGCATGGAAAGAATCCCATTACTTGTAATTACCAATTCTTCACTAGAACAAGATTCAAAATAGGGGTATTCATAGGAAGAACTACCTTAAGAATTAAGGTCTTTACACTCCAGATCAAATGTCATGTATCTCTATAACTCTTCGTTGTCACCTCTTTTGTCCATACCTGGTCACTGAGAGAGGACAGAGTGGGTGAGCAATCTCTAACCTCAGCATTCTTTTTCAAATGAACCACTCTACACAGTTTATTCTGAGGTTATTACTAAACACAAAATGGCGTAAGCATATTTTTCTCTCACCTGCCCATTTTTTTTCATCTATTCCATTAATGAATGCTTGATTTAAAGACTTAAAAGGCTCA